CGGCCAAAATATTCGGCCACCTGGGATCCTATACCTCTCCTAAGTTATCTAGAAAAGTTACCATCTCCACTTAGCCTCCAAAGTCTGTCACAAAAATTGACAACGTTATTAGCTCTAATAACAGGAGAAAGACTCCAGACAATTTCTCTTATTCGTCTTTCACATACCTCCCATGGTCCCAGCGAAACTACCATTAATATTTCAGACCCAATTAAAACCAGTCGAATTGGGAAACCTCAACCAACCTTGCATATACCGGTTTTTCAACAAAACCCTTTCCTGTGCGTAGCCACCATCCTGAAGGAATATATTGACAGAACAGCTAGCTTGAGAGAACCCGACAACGATTTTCTATTCGTGACATATAAAAAACCACATACCAGGGCGTCCAAAGACACTTTAAGCAGATGGGTAAAACAGACTCTTGCATCGGCGGGTGTCAACACAACACTTTTTACGCCTCATTCAGTCAGGCATGCGGCTACCTCAACGGCGTTAAGAAAAGGCGTTTCCATAGATAGTATATGTAAAACAGTTGGTTGGACGCAACATTCCACATTTGCAAAGTTTTATAATCGTCCTTTACAAACCAACAATGAGTTTGCAAATGCCATTTTGGACATAAATGCCTGATTAGTTAGAACAGTTTAAGAGTTTGTGACGTACTTTAGGTACTCTAGTTGTTTTTGAAAAAATATTACTATTAGGGTAAATGTTAAAAATTGACCCCTTGTTTTTTGCTTTTGTTTATGAGAATGCAGAATATATGTTTTTGCCTTTTTGTGTTTGTATACTTGTATTTCTTATATCATCAACTCGCTCGCAACTCTATCTCATCTTTAAACATCTACATAGTGAATAAACAAAGTGATGTCTTCGGACTGGACCCAAAGTATAATTGATCGATCAAACGAACTTACCTGAAGTGAAGTTCGATCGTAATTATACGAGGGTCCAGTCCGAAGACATCACCCCCACCCTATATGCAACCCTCCCAAGTTGCGAGCAAGTACCATTTCTTTAAACAAATGATTCAACGCGAGTGGCCAGGGCGCGGCGAGGAGGTGGGGATTCTCGTCTTTCAACTTGGTGCGCGGATCGTAGTCCAGGGGCGGACTACATAGTGAATAAACAAAGTGATGTCTTCGGACTGGACCCTCGTATAATTACGATCGAACTTCACTTCAGGTAAGTTCGTTTGATCGATCAATTGTGTCTTGCTAAATTCTCGCGTCCTTTAATGTTCGCATTACAATATTACGACCGTTCGAACACTGACAATATGACCGCCTGTGCTAATTGGTTTGTCCTTATGGTTGTTCTATTGATTTGGAATAATATGTACTGGTCTCTTTATAATGAAAAGACTGAAAACTATGGTCCCGTGTCATTTCCTGATTGCCACATCGGTCGGCTGCATCACGCAAAAAAGGAAAGCGAGAGTTCAGTACTTTTTCTTTGACCTAAACGCCAATCGATTCAATTTCAATTATTCGCTGATAGGTTGCGAAAGCAACGGTGTTCTTTCCTCGAGATTAAAAAGTCCGAATCTCCTGGTGCCATGGCAGAGTGCAGCGATCTCACGCGGAGAAAGTCAACAACCGAACGATCAAAATTTCTTCCTAATACAACGAAACCGAGACACAATCGTTACGAAACCACCATGGCATGGTTCTAGCTTTCTCGAGGAAGTTAGAAATGGTCGTGTGTCGATTACTTTCTCCGAATTATGATGACAGCGGCCAATGGCGCGAGAACCGAGAAAAAACCGACACACCGCCGCTGCGATGTCGGCCAAGTAAAAGTGAAATGATGGCTGCTGATACCATCGGAAAGGGAAAGCAGGACGATGAACGATAGACAATATCAGTTGACCAACAATATCATTCAATATTCAGCGCAACCTAGTAGCAATATGCGCTGCATAACTGCAGGATGCTGAACAACTCACGTAGAGGTGGTGTCGATGAAAAGTTCTTCTTTATCGGGATGGCAACAGGTCAAAAACTAAAACCCAGTGGGGTCATCGGGAAGCAGAGCCGAAATAATGTTTTCTAAACCTAGAGTCCAAAGTGTGGGGGTAACCAAGTAGCCCAAATACTGATATAGGGCAGAGTAAGCCAGTAGGGAATTCTTGGAGTCACAGAAGTGTCTACCAAAGTACTTAAGGGAAGCCACGAGGTCCATGGTGGGTTTTTGTTGTCTCTATACTTGCTTGTTTGCGTAGTCGATCTAAAAATATAAAAATAGAATAGATATGACAAACTGTTTGATAACAAACCTAACGCTCGTCTATAAATTAAATGCTGATCAGACTGGTTGCGATTGTTAGTCAGCGACACATTAAAAGTTTCTAAAACATTCGCACACAACAATTCCAAGTGGCTTCTCGAACTTGATAAACAGTGACGTAACGTACCGTCGACCCACTTACCGAACGTTGCTCTCCAGCCGCGATAGTGTTTCAGCAAGATGGATAAATAAGAAAGTAATACTCGTAAACATAGGCTGTTGTGTCATTCGGGGTAAAATGGAGGACAAAACAAATCCATAATTGTTACCTAGTTTTAATGGTAACACACAGTTGCGTTGCTGATATCACATGGATTTCGATTGCTAAATGCATGGTAACGTCTTTGTACTTTCGTCTTTGTATAGAGATACAAATCGGCAGTTGAGGGCAGACAAGCTTGTATTTTAGTGACAATGTATTAGGGGGGCAAGTCTTAAAAATTTCAAATATCGTACACGAAACATGCCACATATGCAACTTTTGGAGGGTGCCCACGATCACAGATTTGTATTTCGTAAATTAACTCATTATCAAATAAAGTTTTTCAGATATATTGTATCTACAAAAAGTTTGAATTTGAAACTGAGTAACAGAATACATATATATGCAAGTTTTAAAGTAAAAAGGCAACATATAGATACATACGATATTATTGGTCATAGCGTTGTAACATCGCAATATACATTGCAGACAATAAAATCGAAAAAACACCAATAAGTGGCACTTCAATTTTATGCTTAGGCGAATACAAATATATATATATATATTATATACAAATATATACGGTGTGAAAAGTGAATGTTGCATCTTTCCAGTAATCGGGGGACATTTTGCATCCCGCGTATACATTTCCCCATATATTGGACCTTTCCAGCCCCGATTTTCCCGCCGCTGCGTCGTGCTCCGTCCGGTGGCGCCACCTGTCGGCAATCACCCGAACTAGTCGAACTCTATCCATCTCTCTCGGTCGTGTCAATACCCCGCCTACGCGAATAAGGCACGCGCGCACACCATACCGCGCGTCCATTCACTGAGTTCACCTCGACGCGTCGCGGAAATCAGAATCAGAACTCGCAGGCTGCCGAAGCGTTAGCACGTCGTTTGTCATGTATGAAAGATCTAGCGCTCTGTTATTTGTTTATATTTCTGATATCTAACTTATAGGCGTAGTTGCATCATATTTTGCACTTATATGTGAAGGAATTTTGCACTCGAAGAGATTTTTACGTAACTGGACATCGTATAAAAATCACCTTATAATGAGAGATTCTTGAAAGGAGTCTGTATTGTTATGTCAATGCTACGAGTTCCATGATTTAAATAGATACCTACCTTTCCTATATTTTATCAGGTCTAATACTGAATACCTGTTAGGGGATCAGTTATGGAAGTGAACTTCAAAATCTATTCGATATATCGCGTTTTGTTTCTTCGTAAAATGGCTTAGAATTTACTTTATCACTTCAAACCGGGATTGTATCAATTCGTGACGCACTACGCATGGTAGAAAACATCCTTGATTTTTAATGTCGAGCAAATTGAGATCCGTATAAAAATGATGATGTGTAATTTTACCGAGCCGTACTTTCGATCTTGCTTTCATCTTCACTGGCGATCTACATATACATGCAAATGTAGCGCAAAGTATTAAGCAATACACACCGCTTTCGAATTTCTTTGTTGTCCGACGTTCAACCTAGATTTGGATTGCGATCCGTTTTGCCAAAAAATACAGGATGCATCTTCAACGAACTGTTGCTCAATGAGTAGAAAGTTGAAAAAGTACATAATTGTTTTTAATGAACTTTGTATGAGGTAAAGGCCACAACCTATAGGTTATAGGCGGTTCAAGATGTCGACTTAGGCACTTCTTGCTTGCGGGCCTTTCCTCATAAGTGCGCAAACTTCAACCATATCAGGTTGCTAAAATTCCATTTTGGAAACATTTATTTTACGTAAGATCTGGAAGCATTGTTGCAAAAAGTTATATCACCACATTCATACCATATTGCGTCATACTTTTTATCAGCACATGTGGAAACGTAGAATCAATAGAATTGAAGGTGAAGGTAACAGATAAAAATATCCAGTGACATGAGTAATATTCGTGATAAATTGTTTATGGAATGACTATTATAGTTTTATAGTTCAACAATAATTTGCAATGTTCCTATGAAATTGTCTTTGAAGCAATGTAATTTTTTTCCATCAAATGGCTCAATGGAGAAAATGCCTTGAAACCTTAAAGGTCGAAAAACAAATCTAACTTGGATTTTAGTTTCTAGTGACACATCCTTATAGAATCAACTGCAGGTACTGCCTACATGCTTTAAACTAAGGTATAAAAATATGGTTTTTGCAAGACAAAATATTACGAAAAGATGTGGCAGAATTGCTCGCCAAGAACCTAGGTCTAATGAAATCTAGCTAGAGGGTATATGCGTTAGACAAATGGAGCCGCAGGCAAAAATCACTTCTCAAGAGGAACATGTAGGTTCTGCAAATAGCATCCATATGCTTGGCAAAACAAGTCCACAAGGAAAATGCTAAAGAAAGGTTGTTGTAACAGTATTGAAAGACGAGAGCATGGTCCAATGTTACTATTCTGAATATTACAGTGGACCCAAATCTCAGTACTTGTTCTAACTTATTTTGGCATCCTATCCGGATTCAAGCGTCAAATGAATAAATACGCTTCGGGGTTTTAGTTGACCCCCATGCTGCCGCTGTAGTCGGCGCGAGGCGTCCTTGAGCGCGGCTTCGCCCCCCTCGCGTCGTAGGCCTCCGCTGGCGTCAAACCATGCGGCGCGCTCGCGGCTCAAGTTCAAGGGTGTCCGGACTAGGGGGCCGCGGGCTGGAGGGAGGCGCGTCGTCGCCTGTAGAGTGGGGGGAAGGCCGCCGTCGATGTCGCTCCGGCGTTGAACGCCAGACACGCTCGCACACTAATTCGGTTCGGTGGAGCTGTGGGAATGCCAGGCCGCCGACCGTACGCGATTTCGCGCGACACCACGCCGACGACGTTGCTTACCGCGCGAGTTGATTGTGTTACCACCACCACGCCGCGGTTGAGTGTTGATTCTTGTGGTGCGCGGGGTGTGAATAAGTGCAACGCGATGGGCGCTAACGATGAACTGCCCATACTCAAAGGGATACTCAATGGAGTTGTCAACTATCACAATGCACGTAGGTGTCTACTTTTGTGGTTTCAGTGTCCATTACAAAAATATACTGGATGTAGTGTTGGTGTCATATTGTCCACAGTTTCTTGTTGGTAAACACCAATGTGTTACAAGTTGGAGCTTTAGTGTACATTTCCTGTACAGCGGCGCTTCCTCGATCTGCCCTTAACTGCGGGATAAACTGTTAAAGTCACGAACGTCGGTGTCATTTCACTCATATACCTATCTATTATACCACCTTTCAAAACTCATGTGGATCTGTCTCAGATCAAAACTCTCCGACTATTCACTATTCTGAAAATTCAAAATTGTGTCTTACAGACAAGCAGTAACACCCCAAAGGCTAAGTAATTCATACAAATGACAAATATACTCCAGCCACGTTTTACTCTAAAATATTAATAATCTTTATTGACTGAAAAAGTAAAAATGCTAAAATATATTCATAACGAAAAAGCAACTTGATAACAAACCATATATGCATGATTTCAGTAATAGTGTTAAGGACAACTTGGAAAATGAACATTTATCCATTCTACAATTCCTCCTACCACATCAAAACCAGGGCACTTTTTTGTTATATGGAGAAAACTTTCCCAATCTATTTCATGTTTGTCACACGATGTTAATATCAAATTCTCGTTATCATTTGGAGGAGTAAAAGAAATTAAACAAAGTATTGTTCTGCCACACAAAAACAATATTTTAAAAATAACCTTTGTTTAGCTCAGAACACGGATGGTAGTTATAAACTTGAACCCAGCCAGTAGTTCATTGCCCTGCCAAGTATGTACTATCAACTATCGTATACCACCAGTTTTGTTTTCATTGCATATACTTAGAGCGTTATCAGCTGTATAATTGTGCGTCTACATTTTTATTATTCGTGTCTAATTTCTATTTAGGAACTATTATCAGTGTTGAGAAAGTAAAGGATAATTTTGAATAGTCACACCTCATTATCATATCAATAATGCCTTTGAAGGTAATTAAAATGGTGTACAAGATTTCGGTCATCCCTCCAAACTCGTATATTTCCGATTTCGAGTGCTCCAATAGCACTTTCATTGACCTATACACGCATATCCATACGACATTACCAGAGACGGCGCCTGCCTTCTCCAGATAGCTTTCACCGCTCGAAATTTCTCTCGTTTAGCACTGTCAAACTCTCTTGTACTTTCACCCATCGCCCCACTGCACGGTGTTTTTTCTTTCTTCCGTAACGTATTCAGAGCAGATGCCACGTGCCACCACCTGGAACTCTGTAACACCCTCTGGCCCTTACACTCGACAATAATTTTTTTTAATCTATCGGATTATCAGTGTTGCTTTCTGTCATCTCTTAAATACACAATTCAAAGCTTTTCTAAAATGTCATGAATATTCGTGGAGAGGTTTATTTGTCGACCTTAAGATGGATTAAAACTTGTTATCAACACCATTTATCATGCTCGTACTCACTGCAGTAAAACGTGGTGATGGAAGTTTTTAAACTAAGTACACATTTTGGAGGATTCTCCTTCCACATTCTATCTAAGGTAAATGAGTGAAATAACTCAATATTTTATATTACTCGATTAAAAGCTGGTACTACTGTCATATGCCAAACACTCTCTCCCCCTCATAGACATTAGACATTTAAACTAATAATTCTCTCTTTCTTTCCAGCCGTGAGATTCGGTCGGGTGCCGAAAAGAGAAAAAGCCAGAATTCTAGCGGCCATGCAGCAGAGCTCAAACTCTCGCTCATTAGAAAAAGCAGTCGCGGCAGAATTAGAAGATGAGCAACGTCTCTTAGAGACAGTTGTTAGGGCGCACATTGACACCTGTGATTTCACCAGAGATAAAGTGGAGCCTATGTTGCAGAGGGCTAGAGATCATCCATCGTATACAGCTTGTCCGCCAACCCTGGTAAGTGTACACATCTTCTGAAGAATTGTGATACCCTGCCAAGTGTTCTTTGTGAAGCAGTGATATGATTCAGCAAAATATATTTTGGTAGCGATCTTCGAATATTAGTGACACTAGTGCAAACCTGATCCCTCAATTCCTTTATTGTGAACCTCTGAGAATTATCACCTTATGGGTGTTGATCTTTGTATAGAGGACAAAGTTCACCATCATTTTGGAATTATAGTCAATGTAATGCGCGTCAGGTAACAATACAGCAATGTACAGGTGGAAGTCGACCTTTATGCTTTGTACATTGAAACATGTTTTGGTGTACAGGTGTAAATCGACCTGTATATAGTCGTATATTGAACCTGTTCTGCGTGAGAAAGGGTGCGAGAAGCCCCGGACAAAGACCAGGTCCACAGACTGGATAACCTTGCGACCCAACAGGGAAGGACGGAAATACCCAAGGTTCAGCTCATCGCTGCTGCTTTGGTTAGTGCACGATTCGATCTATCTCTGTCTTTGTCTTTTGTCGGATGCTACCGCGACAAGGTTGACGCGCACTTGAACAGGATGACACCAGCCTAGTTTGTGTGCTAATTTGGGCGGCAGAACAGGAAGCTATTAAAATAAATAATTCATTTTTTAATTATTTGCCCTTGATCAGACAAAAGGTGTTATAAGTACTTTTGAAATCTGTTCTACCCTGCAAGCTGAACATTGATCTTAAACAATCTTCCTAGCATGGAAATTGCTGATGACTTCTTGTCGTACCCATTGCTATGTTTTAACAAAATATCTGCTAGAAATAGCAGTAATTCAACTGAATTTGCGCATACGACCACTTGACGTCAAGACTGGAGGCGCGAGGTTACGACTACGTGACGAACGTGAATATTGATCGCCACCTTTATTCTAGGTTACCTTCTAAGCGACCAGCATAAAGGTCGACTATTTTTGGCCTTGGCAGGTTATCACGAAATATTCTCCCGATTTAATCGTATCATGGATAGGGTAAAAAGTCTGTATATGTTTATTAGCTGCAATAACAAGTTGTTTAGGCTTCAATTCTTTTTTCTTTTGTCATCTCAACTTATTCGGACGGCTGTAACCCTTGTTGCCATAAATATCATTAGATCACCCTTGCTGTTCCAACTTTCACTATGATTTTTCATTTTATCTTACCAGTTAGATTTTTTATAAATAAATAATTCAAGATAACAACTAGCAGATTAGGCTTAGCTTAGCAAAACATTCGCGTGAAACACTTCAATTTTTTAAGCGTTCCATATTTCTACAATGGTGTTCTCTCTTGTTTCAGGCGTGCCCGTTGAACCCAAACCCTCAGCCATTGACTGGTCAGCAGGAGCTGCTCCAGGACTTCTCGAAGAGATTCTCCCCAGCCATCCGAGGTGTGGTGGAGTTTGCAAAGCGCATTCCTGGCTTTTCGCTATTGGCGCAAGACGACCAAGTGACTCTCCTCAAAGCCGGAGTATTCGAAGTGTTGCTAGTACGACTGGCCTGCATGTTCGACTCCCAGACAGCTAGCATGATCTGCCTCAACGGCCAGGTGCTCAAGAGGGATTCCATCCACAACAGCTCTAACGCTCGCTTCCTCATGGACAGCATGTTCGACTTTGCTGACAGGATGAACGCCCTGAGGCTGTCCGATGCTGAGATTGGCCTCTTCTGTTCCGTGGTTGTCATTGCCGCAGATCGCCCTGGACTGCGCAACACCGAGTTAATCGAGAAGATGCACAACAAGCTGAAGACTGCGTTGCAGATCGTAGTGGCGCAGAACCACCATGGCCAGCCCCATATCATGGATGAGCTGATGAAGAAGATTCCTGATCTCCGCACGTTGAACACGCTGCACTCTGAGAAGCTACTGGCATTTAAAATGACCGAGCAACAGCAGATGATGCAACAGCAACAGCATCATCTGTGGAACAACACGCTGGAAGAAGAAAGCAACAGCAAGAGTCCAGCAGCATCTTCCTGGTCCTCTTCGTCCGATGTTACCATGGATGAAGCCAAGTCGCCCTTGGGGTCAGTGTCCAGTACCGAGTCCATGTGCTCTTCGGAGATGGCCGCCATTCACGAATACCACCCGCAGCCAGTCACCAGCCATGTGACGAACGCCCCCCTGCTTGCAGCCACCTTAGCAGGGGGCGTCTGCCCGCATAGACATAGAGCCAACTCCGGATCAACCTCTTCTGGAGACGATGAGCTGGCCTCGCACTTGATCCACAACGGATTGACTATCACTCCAGTATCAAGGCCGCAAAACCCGCACTCAAGATTCAGGAAGTTGGATTCGCCCAGCGACTCCGGCATTGAATCAGGCACCGAGAAGGTGGACAAGCCTACATCCGTATGTTCCAGCCCAAGGTCGTCAGTTGAGGATCATCATATTGTGGAAGATATGCCCGTGTTGAAGCGAGTACTGCAAGCACCTCCGCTGTACGATACCAACTCACTAATGGATGAGGCGTACAAACCCCACAAGAAGTTCCGAGCCCTGAGGAATAAGGACTCTGCAGAAGCCGAGCCCGCGGTGATCGTCTCACCAGCACCCACTCCAGTGCAATCGTTACAACAGCAACAATCGAGTTTGTCCAGCTCGCACTCAATGCTGGCCAAGTCTCTGATGGAAGGCCCCAGGATGACAGCGGAACAGATGAAACGGACAGACATAATCCACAGTTACATAATGCGTGGTGAATCCCCTACGATGGCATCGCCTATGGTCACGGCGGCACCCACAGCTTGTCCGTACTCCAAGGCGAGCCCCAGCAGCGGTCACCAGTCACCTCTGTTGCAACCCGCGTGGGCTACCAGTGTAATTACGACCACCGCCCGCCAAATGCAGTCCAGCAGTCAATCCCCGCCGCCCCAGCAAGAGTACCAGCAGCGATTGTACCTGCAGTCGCCGCATAGTACCTCCCCCGCCCCTCCGCAGTCAAGGTCACCGCACAGTCCGCACTCTACGCTGCTTCAGAGCATGTCCAAAATGATGGAGCTGCAGGTGGACATCGCCGACTCGCAGCAACCCCTAAACCTGTCCAAGAAGTCCCCATCGCCCAGTCCGATGAAGGTGGTCAAATTGGAGGTGTAATATGAGAGCAGAATCGGGCTGCCTCTCTTGAGATTAGTACAAAGTGGAGTGCACATGCTGAGGAGCTAAAGTCGCGAACTAGGACGCTAAATCGCCGTTCGTGAGTTATAATTGGGACGGTCATAGGACGAGAACTAGTGAGTTTTTTCGGAAACGGTTGTTAAATCCTTAAAAATTCTTGAACACAAGGATAGGTAAAGAGTGGAGTTTCATGGTGACAACTCAAAGTAAAAGTTACGTTTTTGATTATCTTTTACGAGTGATAACAGAGTTTGCAAAAAGTCTAAATTGAAAAATATTTTGCACCTGAGGGAAATTTATACCAAAATTTTTTTTAAACAACTTCCAAAATTACTCAAATCAGATCTTGCCAGTTATATATCGTATTTATGTTGACCGTTTTTAATATAATCAATGGAAACAAAATGAATTTATATCGTGGCTCTTCACAAAAGTGATAACACAAGATCTCATCCAACATCGACCATATAAAGAATGATGGTTGTCAAATTAGTTTAAATCTCGATCGAAAATCCTCAATTGGTTCTCGTGCTATATGGTGCCACTTGGATCGCGTATTACAACAAACCAAATAATTTATATTTGCTGTATATTCATTACTATTATCTGTTTAAATATTGTATGTTGATGTGTGACCCTCTCCCCCGTAGATGTAATAGAGCTCCCCCTATCAAGGTGGGAGGCTATGTTCTCATTGTAAAGTTAACCTCCGGTATGTCGCGACCGACCTAGCAGGCAAAATCTCATTCTGTACATAGTGGACCAATTCCCCATTTCCCCTATCCTTTTTTGAAGCCTGCTCAAATGTCGGTCCGTCCGTTGTGTCTCTGTATCTAGTTAAGATTCCAAACAATCACTAATTTAAAAAATCATAGACATCCATGTTGTAAATTGAGAAGAGAAAGGAAAATAATCGATTACTGGCATCGGCACCCAAAAATCCTATCATAGAGTTATATTTGTTTTAATATATGTGATAAATTGATTTGTAGGTTATATTTATGGCATAAGTTTGTGTTATCGCGTATCTCAGTTTGTATAGAATCATCATTCATAATCATCTCATTGCTCGCCTACAATGGACGGTTTCTCTCATCGGACAATTGTCAATGTATTTCCAGAACGCCATTTTCGTACAACTTGTTCCTTCACATTATATTGATAAGTTTGGATGGCGGGAAATTTACAACGCACTGGCAATTTGTTGTATGTTCCATTCATTATTTCAGCAGTTCCTCTTTCGGTTCACCGCTAAGTGATTTACATGTTACCATGCAACGTACGGAATGGTTAAAACAATGGACTGTTTTAAGATCTATTTCCTATATAATTATAAATAAATAAAAAAACTCTGGAGAAAAGATTTCTTCTTTCAAAATTCTGTAATATGTTAGTTCGAATGGGACAGTTGTAGAGAAGCCTCCGTTAGCTGTATTGTATCACCACACCGACTCAACTCACATTTGCCGTATCCATTTTTAAAGTGTAAGATTGGAGCGAGCAGGGGAAATTTTTGTGAGACTGAGGGGGTGATCGAAGCACCCCATCGTACTAAGGGTCCCCTAATGGGGGCACAACCGCACTCGTTTCGTTCCCCCCAAGCTTGTTCCCCTGTCCGCTGTCAAAGTGACAGACGTGGACCATTCTGCCCTCAACCATGTGTTTCTAACCTCTTGTACACAACATTCAGACGTGCGTTTAGAAGTTATCTCGTTTTTCTAGTTCAGTAAAAGAATTGCTACAATTTTATGTTGTTTATTTGATAAAAAATCACAAAAATATGATTTAAATATTTATAGTTTCACTTGTTACTTATTTTGTTGCAATTTATTGCATCTGCTGTTTGAGTATAGTTGTATAATGTATATGATCTTCATTACTGATCGCAGTCTGTTTTTCATTATTGTGTATTAAAATATAGATATTTTGCGAGATAATTTCTAATGCCGTTTCATACACTTTCCGCATGCTGTGCATTTTCAAGTAATTCTGTTCGATTTTTTGTAACTGTTATAATGTTGCTATTTGTTTCTGTTGTAATTATTTTCTCTGCAGATCGGATGGTAGACTGATATGAGGAGAACTAAACATGTTCTGTCAGTCAACCAAAAGATACTTGCAGGGTTGTTTTTTTCATTTTACCACATATTGTAAATTGGGAGCTTGTTGAGGCCAACAGAATAAACATGTCTTGGTGATATTAAACAATGTTTTTATTTAATCTATCCATCCAAAAGTAACTTACCGGAGTTTATAGGGCTGCGAATATTGTTAGCTAACTGCTGTTACCAGTTACACCAATTACTAATAACTAACAGTTACTATTAGCAGCAACTGTTAACGTAAACAGTTTGGTGTTAATTACTCCTAGGTTGACAATCATCGATGATGCAGGAGGAAAGTAAAAGTGTAAAAAATGCGAAGTAGAAAGTATGACATAAAAAATGAGAAGTATAAAAGACAAAAAAAGGCTTACATTAATGCGGTAAGTACAAAACTATTCATTATTTTAAATAGTAGCACGTATTTTTAACTCTCACTTATGTTGTTGGATGAGTTCCACTCATTATATTTGATATACAACTCCAACAGAAGTAGTCGATGTCGTCAGACAATAACAGAAATGGTACAGTGAAATTAACTTTGCAAGTTTATTTGGTAAAAAGCCTGAACGGGAGTAGTCGATGCACTCAGGCGAATTAACGGTAATACTCCAGTGAAATTAACTTTGCACGATAATTTCGGAAACAGCTCAACAGCAATAATCCAGTGAAATTAACCTTGCAAGTTCATTTGACAAAGTTTGAACGAAGTAGTCTATGCTGTTAGGTGTATTAACGGAAGTAATCCAGTGAAATTAACGCTGCAAGTTTACTTAACAAACAGCTGTAATGCAAGTAGTCGATACCGTCGGATGTAGAAATGTTTCAGTGAAATTAAGTTGTCAAGTTTGTTTGGCCTTCAAGCGGATTAACGAAGATAATTCAGCGAAATTAACTTTGCAATTTTGTTCTGCAAACATCTCGGGCAGTTTAGTGAACATAGTTTAGGAAATTAAGATTCCAAGCTTGTTGGAGAAATATCTAGCAAAGGGGAGATCGACCATGTCAGCTAATTAACGGAAATAGTACAGTGAAATTAGCTTTGCAAATAGCTCGGAACAGGAGTAATTGAATCGTCAAGCGTATCAAATGAAAAATTCCAGCAAAACTAACCTTGTAAGTCGATAAACTTTCAGCAAATATGACAAAAGGCAGATTAACGAAAATAGGCCAGTAAAATCCAGTTTGTTTGGCAAACAGCTTAAATGGAAGGTTAATGACCTCGAAGTAAACGGATATTGACTCCGAAGGCACTTTCCATGAGGTAAAAATCAGTAACTAGTTAATGTTGAAGAATAAGATAGTCTGGAAGCGATTCCAGTCACATAATGATAGCATCAAATGCAAACCGGCAAACAGAGAATAACCCTCCTTCTGTGAAATCTGTAGCACTCTGGGTTCTTTATATCAATAGACGCTCCATCACAGTTAATTGAGAGTTAAGACTTATGGACGACGGTGAGACCGGCAATTTTCTCCCTCTCCTCAACGAGAATCTTTATCCCAGTTAATCTACTGCCATATTTCAAGAATTAACTCCCTGACCTTCTGTAGGATAAAACTTCTCGTATTAGTATTGTATAAATGAATAAAAATACCGAAAATAACCAGTTAAATCGTACATCCCGTTGTTCGCAATGTCCAATTCAAAACAAAGTAATACAAAGAACAGATAAGAATATATAAACAAACTACAGCAATCCTAAAAGTATCTCGATAGTTCATTATCTACGTACAAAGAAAATGACTAAGAATGAGAGTTAACGCAAGGCCATCAGAGCAGTTAAATAACGTCAATGGAATGCAACATTATATGAAGTGAATTTGTAATAAAGAGATACACTGATTAAAGAAATAAGGTGACTTTGAACTTCACATGAACTGGTGCAAAACTAAAAGAATCTCTCCACAGTGAGGAGATTTCTATGATTTTTTAACACGGGAAGTTCGATTTTCCGAGATTTTACATACAGAGATCGCCCCTTGTCAAACATTTTCAGCATCTTTCAGCACCAAGTCGTACGACGAGTCTTCTGCTCTTCCTTCATATTATACGGTATCCAGAAAGAACAAAGCTTTCTTACGCGTAAATGGTCATGCAGAATCGAATGAATTGCTGGTGCATGAAGGTGTAAGTTCTTCTGTATCTGTTGGTATGCCACTCTCCGGTCTTCGTCAAGCATCTTCCTCACAGCAGTAATGTCTTCCTCTGTCACTGACGTTCGCAGCCTTCCGTTCCTCTCAGCGTCCTTCAGAGTGAAATTGCCGCTTTGGAATTCTCTGTACCACCTGAATATAGTCGTACGATGAGGACCATCATTCTTTAACGCAATGCACTGGTCTATGCTTAAATTACGCGTAAAGTTATACCGTAAAACTGCCCTTATGTCTTACGTGGCCACGATGCCACAGTCCGCACTTTACACTGTCAATACGAATCAACAGACGTGCTGCTGGCGGCTACTATGCACTCATGGACATGTCTCAACATGCAACGTCCCGCGTCCGTTTATTAAGTCATATTCCAAAAATGTTATAGTTATAGTTTTACTTTCGTCTAGAACAACAAAATATGATCTGAGGTTCCACGATCCTAGTCGTTGCTATGCATGGTCAGTGAAATCAGTTTATTGCCTATCCTCACGCTACGGTCTCTGACCCCTACAACGAAACTTGTTGCGCCTATGACGGCGATGTACATATCAAGTAAGCTGATTAAGTAATGACTTCATTCAACTAATATTGATCAAGGATTCTCTGAAAAATGAACGCTTCTCGGCTATTTGTGCACTCATTTGTTTATTATATAACAAGCATCAAATGAGGAAGTGAATCACACTAGCAGTCAAATAGCAGTTGACACTATGATTCTGCTTGGAAAACGTCTGCGTACCCTTGGAACAGTGATACTGACATTGAAACTCGCCCACACGTTGACAGATAAATCACTTAGTCATTTTATTGTGTTTTGTTCGAAAATAGAATTTGTCTAATCCTGTCGCCTTGTAGATTATTAAATTATTACCATTTATTACGGGTTCAAGTTATTACGCATTAACATGTGCGATTATGTTACGCCGTTGTGAGTTAGAAACAGACCGTAGTCTAGTCTACAAAGGACTATCTTTAATAACGAAAAACGTTAAAAGCTAAGCCCGAAGGGTGCTAAATATTTATGTATGTATCTAGGGAAGCCATGTCAAACTCAAAGTCACAGGTGCGCCAAAAGTATGAAGACCGTAAGCTTGGTGGGCCGCCAAACCTAATTTTAAATTACTGAAAATGACAACGAAAGAATTACTATTATAAGACATAAGGCATATTTATTACATTTACCATAAAAAGGACATTACAAGAAATATAAACATTAACTTCTTTGCCAAATACTTGACATCTTTTGTCTTTGTCTTGTTGCTATTTGTGATGGTCGGTACTGCCGGTAAGGCGGAGGAGAAATTTCTAGGTCGCAACATTGTCAAATGGGTGGGGACTATGAACTAATTGTGTGGGCCTGTTTGGCCGACTTGAACGGTTTAATTTCGTTATTATACATGTTCGTAGCTAACTTTTTTCTGAAAGAGGCTAATTTGTGCCAATAATAAACCTTTATGAGCTATTTCCGCCGCTCTGTCTATCTGTAGAGACAGACATGTCGGTCTGTCCGCTAATCATTGACCGGCGTATAATTTGGAAAGTACCGGTCGGATTTTGCAATTTTTCACTCAAGTTTACTACTATACCACGGACGAAAAAGCTTTGTGATTTTTGAAAATACGCCCAGTGGCGGCACAGAATAAGGCCAAAAACTTGTTATTTTTTGACGTTTCATACGCTTTATACGCTTTTAACTCCGTTAATTATGCGCACCTATTTAATACATATTCTACGTATCATACATCTTCCCGTACATTTGCCCTCAAAACTTAAGACAAATATTTACGGACGTGTCTTATGTGTCTGTCGCGGGTCTCTTTTCTTCGTACATGGAGCCCCGCCTGCGTATGACTGCATCGCTGGCGTTCTCGATCCCGAGTTATAGCAGCGTTGCTACAGTCGTCGGGTGAAATAATTGTACAAGCGCATGGCATTATTCTACATACACAGTAGCGTAGCATGGACTTATCCGTGTAGAAGGGACGCGGTGGTGGTCTCAGGATTTATGTTCAGGAAGATGTCCATATCAGGAGAAAGGGGTTAGGCGCGCTTGCCTAAGGAGCATGTTGGATACAGCTGAAAAGTGTAGGGTGGGAGGAGTCAGATGTAATAACATTTGAAGAGTAGGCAGTTAATTGGAGAGGGGGGGGTAGGTGTGTGAACGTGAACGAAACTTAGATTGATAATGATGGGAGATGGGGTCCATCGCACACATATCAACGTCTGAGGGTAGAAAAAGCTCATTCAGAAAATTATCGTACATTTAGCTATTAGCGTACACGTACATCGTACTGTATTTAACTATTTAAAATTACCATACAAAAATGATAATTATCGTAAGTCTGGTAGCACTGACTTATAGTATGATTATGCGTATGGCATAGTATACTTGTGCGGTTCAGCATTATTGTCAGTTGGTCGATATTTTCGGTGGGACAGGAAAGAAATGTAGTGCTACCATATAAGTGGTGATCCTGGATCAATTGTATTGTTTAGCTGACTTTTGATATACATGTCCGTAGCTAGTTTTTTCCTAAGAAGGGTTAACTTGAGCCGAACATAATCCTTGACGGACTAACTGATGACCACATTGTGTGGGAAGTAAAGAGTTCCGCCCTACTTGACGTTATTTTTATACTGAAGAAGCCTTCGCGGCAAAAACCTATAAATATCAAGGGGGCTCTCGATTGCTAGAAGATTATAAGTTGAGCTTACATTTATCTCTTGATAACAGTGAATAAAGTTTGAATTTTCCCATAGGTTTACATGGGTTTCAAAATAAGGACATTGTGGAATTATTTTAATTTCAGGGTGATAATAATCACAATGTTTATTGGTCTAACTACAAAGCTTTCGTATAACGGTAGTATCCGATAAACATAAGACACCCAAAAAATTATACACTTGTGCTTGGGCTTAAACTGAATTTATGAATTATTATACAAATACAACAAATTTCCTATAAATATACTAGTCAAATGTAAATTTGCATCAATTTATGAAATAACATTGATTTTTGATGTCATGTTTATGAATTTGTAGCCTTGGTTGGTTTAAGGTTTATAACTTTAATTCCATTTTGAATCGTTTTTCACATTTTATGTACTTAAAGTTTTCAGGAACAATATTAAAAAATGTTGAGCCTAGAAAGTAGAATCATCTTAGTCTGAGGATAAGTGCAGATGTTTTTTTGAATCGAGTTTGATGATTGTGGCCAATCCAATGCTACAATTTTGGATTTTTTGTTAAATATATTACTGTATGATAAAAATGTTTGCCGACATTCCAAAAGCTGAGAATCGCTTCAAATATTTTCTGAGAGATAACATTTCTTTTAGTTTAACATAATCTTCAAAATTAACTTCTGTGTAGTTTCATTTTTTAATAATAATTATTCATGACCCCACCGCAAGCTAAGTCTACAAAAGAAAAATTGCTGAAATGTTGTTTGGAATCAGGTATCTTAATTTTATTATTAAATGTTCAAAGTGTATATTCCATCTTAGAAGGTTATCCAAATATTTAAAATTATCAACTGGATTAAAATTTGAAGAAAATATTTGTTGTCATAAGTAAATGCAATAAAATATGCTTTGTCGAAGTTGACTGTTAAAATCTTTTCCGTGAAAAGATTATAACCTTCGGAGTTCGAAAATCCAATACTTTTTTTTCAAGGTACCCCTATTTGTCTGAATAAATAATCGCCCTGTCACCAGGGTAACCAATAATTTCATTAAATCTTGGATACTTAAGTTATACAGGGTGTCCCAGTATAACATATGAGTTACTCGTATGCATTATACGACATCAGAAAATAATGCCTATTCCTATTAAGAAATGGCCTACGTAGAGATCGGACCCTAAAGGACACCTCTGGAAAACGCCTTTTTTGTTATCCTTTGGACAACATTGAATAATCCAGCAACATTTTGACACCTTCTTTAACAATTGGTTGAAATAGCTTTAACCATTTAGGACTTCACTTGCCGGTGTCCATGAAAACCAATAAACTCATTTTGATCACCAGAATCCGACTATCCCTGACGCAATATTGCTGATATCTTTTTAAAATAATGACTCAAAAATACTTCATTATTTGATTTCGATACAAGAATTTTTATACGGTTAAAAAGAGAAAATTAGATATTTAGGTCACATCTAGTAAAATTTCTGGAAAGAGGGGACCTGGCCAAAGAAAATACTTCTGGCTAAAAAATCTCCGGACAAATCATCTACAGTTTCAAAGGTAAAAGTCACCCTACTGGTCGTCAACTTTCGAAAATGGTAAAAGATTTTCTACTACCACTACTACATCTCTATCCTGTCTGGTTAAGCCCAGGAATGATCAAATACTTCGTTAAAATCAGTTACATAAAAAATGGCGTCAAGTAGGTTGACTCTGCACTTCTCACGCATTGTTGTTATCAGTTCATAAACTAGGAAATCTCTGATGTGTGAAATATATACTGATATATGCGTAAAATGAATCGGGTTGGAGCGTATGAATATACTGCTGCCAAAAAATGAGATATACCTCCCCACAATCTCTAGATTACCCCCCAACCCCCGATATTCAACCCGTTCAACAAATTTTCTGAAAATAGTAAGGAAACTCTGAAACGTCAAAGAAACGAAGATTTTTTTCGTGTTTTTGCCCATAGCTTCCCCGCCACTGGACAGAATTTCAAAAACCGCAAAACCTTAGTTACCTTGTTTCAAAATTTCATACGAGCAGTACTTTCCACGTCCAAAGATTACCGGACAAATCGACGGAAATCAGTGACGTGTTTTTCGTCTTATAAAATCCAAAAAACATAACATCTCATTTAAGAATTTTTTTCCGATTACAATACTCTCTCGTCAATAGGCGCGGAAAATAAAAAGTCATATCAATCTACATTGATCTCTCGGTATTATCGATTCACGATGCCCTGTGTTGTCTCTTTGATCTGTCCAGTCCAATCTTATGCAACACTGCAAAGCAAGATTGCAGTTTAAAACATTATTGCCTTTCATAGATCTCCTACCTTTGGTGTTTCGTTTAGCTATGCTAGAACACAACTTACACACCTCCCTAGACTTTGCTGCTAACCTATATTTAACAACCAATGCCAAAACGATATACTTTCCTAAAAATACGTCAAGGTGCTACGTGCATGTTATCAAATTTCACAAATACATAATAAATCCGTACGATCAAAAACGGAGGACAGCGCAGCGAGCGCAACCTTTGCGAAGGTGAAGTATTTATACTTCCAGCATCCG